TTTATTTATTATATTTTAATTAAAAGATTCCAAAAAATAATGTTTTGTGTAAATAATATATTTCAAACATTAATGAATATGAGATAATATATTTAAAAGTTCGTATGCCTGAAGTGATGACACGAAATAACGATGGCCGAATACACCAAGAATAAATTTTATTTTGCACAATAATGCCAGGGAGAACTTTAAAGAAATATTAAATGAGAAAATAGAACAACGTCAAAATAACAAAATCAATGCTCACTACACTTCTTCTGATCCCAAGAAAACAACGAATGCCGCGTTTTTATTGAGACGCTTGAGCGTTTTATTGAGATTGTCACCAAAAGAAGCTTTGAAACCATCAACTGTAAGCGGTTATAGTTGTAGGTCACTTCAAGATGCAACGCCTGGTGATTCATCGTACACAATATTAATATTAGATTGCTTATTCAAGGCGATAAACAAAGCTCGAGAACTAGGTTTTTCTTTTAATTTTCAAGATTTTGATTTTTACTAAATTATGGACTTTTGAGTGCTGTAGATATATTTTTACATTTTTAATTTTTTACTTTTTCTATGAATATTATCGCTCCGATACATTCACAGCCGGATTTCCTACGGTGTCAAAATTGTACCGACGGTAGGCTGTTTAAAGGTAAAAAGGGATTAAATATATACATTAAACGATGCCATAGTAAAAGTATTTCGGCTTCACAACCTACCGTAGAAATTCATGACTCTTCTAGTAATATACCTAATGACACAAATTCTTCACTTTTTTCGGAACAATTATACAATTTGTATAGTAACGTACCAGTGGTTAAAAGAATTCCCAGAGGTGCGAGGATGCAACTTGCTAAAGCATTATCATTCACTATTCAAAATTGTCTAACGAATTGTGAAAAGAGTTGGCAAAAATTATTTACATTCCATTCGCGTATTCCCATTTTCATTTTAATAAAACAATAAATAAATCAGTTACGTCTCAACTAAAAGAAAATTCTTTTCAAAATTTGGATTATCCGATTAATACTCATTTCTCTCGACCTTATCCTAAATTTGATTTAAAAAGTAGTTGAATCAAAAGTAATGGACGGCGACTTAAAAAATGCATCCCGTATTCTATTCTCAGATGACATCCTCGCTCCTCGTAATGTCGAAACTCTTGAAGGCGTTCGTCAGAAACATCCTTCGGTCAATCCTTCCCAGAATTTACCGCTGCCTCCCAATACTTCTATACAACCTTTACAAATTTCTGAAAAATACACTTTAGACGCAATATTGTCATTTTCGAATGGCTCTGCCGGCGGCATTGACGCCTCAGCATCTCAAAGATCTTGTAAGCGTATCTGCCGGTGACGCCGGTAGGGTACTTCTTAATGACATTACAAAATTATGTAATTTTATGCTTTCTGGTAATGTCAATCCCAATTTCATTCCCTACTTATATGGGGCAAGATTGTGTGCCTTCAAAAAAAAGGATAACGGTATCCGTCCTATTGCTGTTGGTTCTAAATTTCGACGCTTACTTCAAAATTAGCTTGCAGGCACATAATCTATAAGCGTCAAACCTTAAGACAACCCTACCTATAACTAAAGTCAACCTACTCAACTAGGCTTTGGCACCAAAGGTGGCTGTGAGGCGGCGGTACATTCGGTGCGTATTTTCTTAACTAATTCCAATGCAGATGTTCTTCTGAAGGTTGATCTTAGAAATGCTTTTAACTCTATTGATAGGATAACCCTGCTGAAAGAAGTGGCTAACAATACCCCCTAAATATATCATTACGTTTGGCAATGTTACAGTCAAAATTCAAACTTGTTTTATCAAAACCATATTAATAAGTCTGCTGTTGGTGTTCAGCAGGGTGATCCAATAGGTCCAGCTCTTTTCAGTTTGGAAGTTCAACCTATTATTTCAAATTTAAAATCCAAGCTGAATGTCTGGTATCTGGACGACGGTACACTGGGAGGTAAAGCAGATGACGTCCTTAATTATCTTACTCATATTTTTCAAAATTTTAAAAATATTGGTCTTGAACCAAATACCAATAAATTTGAAATATTTATTTCTAATAATTTATCTAATTCTAACAGAGATACCTTAATTCAAAATTTCAATTAGATTTCTCCAGGAATAAAAACTGTCAATTCGGAATCGCTTTACCTGCTCGGTGCTCCGTTGTTTTCCGATAGTATTAAACCTGTTTTAAAAACAAAATTTGATCAATTTTTAAATCACGTTGATAAATTGTATATTTTAAACCCCCATATTGCCCTTACCATTTTAAAATATTGTCTCCTTGTACCTAAATTTACAAACGTACGGATATTTTAAAAGATATTGATTTGATAGTAATCTTAAAATTGCTTTAGAAAAAGTTCTAAATTTGAGATTAAATACAATAGCCTGGAATCAAGCCACTTTACCTATCAAATTTGGTGGTATTGGTGTAAGAACTATTTCTAGCGTCGCATTGCCTTCTTTCCTTGCTTCCGTGCATAGTGTCAATGATCTATGAACCAAATTATTGAGTGGGCCCCCACTAGGTAGTGGCGATCTGGTAAACAGGAAGTCGATTGATGTTGGCTTAGGACTGTGTTGTTGCAGAGATGATGATCCACTGGGTGGTAAGAGCTCTGTGTGCCCAGGAGTCTGTCTGAGTGGTTATCTTCCTGTTACCTATTTCTGCTACAGAGCAGAGCAGTAAGTGCTTCAGTCTGAAGGACATTGGGAGCCAGTATAATAACAGATGATTCACTGGGTGGTAGGAGCTTTGTGTGCCCAGGAGTCTGTCTCGGTGGTTATCTTATTCTTACCTATTTCTGCTACAGAGCATCAGTAAGTGCTTCAGTCTGAAGGACATTGCGAGCCAGTATAATAACAGATGATTCACTGGGTGGTAGGAGCTTTGTGCGCCCAGGAGTCTGTCTGGGTGGTTATCTTCCTCTTACCTATTTCTGCTACAGAGCAGAGCAGTAAGTGCTTCAGTCTGAAGGACATTGAGAGCCAGTATAATAACAGATGATTCACTGGGTGGTAGGAGCTTTGTGTGCCCAGGAGTCTGTCTGGGTGGTTATCTTCCTCTTACCTATTTCTGCTACAGAGCAGCAGTAAGTGCTTCAGTCTGAAGGACAATGAGAGCCAGTATAATAACAGGCGGGTGACAAACAAGCACACAGTCCACTTGATGGTAAGTGGTTGCTGTAGCCCATAGACATCTATATCTAACCTCGAATACAAATCAAAATGTAGATGTGTTGTCACCTGTGAGCACTAAGATGGAATGCCTCGTTTCCAAGTAAAATGGGTCTCCACACTCTACACTCCATATACACACCACGTTCTCTACACTCACCATACAAAATGTATTAAGCTACAATTTTATGCTGGTATTTTGTGAGAGCGTGTTCTGTTCCTTGCCCGGTCGAGCTGACCCACTCATGCTACAACTATACTTCTAATATAACTGCAGCATGGCTTTACCACGAATATCTTAGTCCTCAAAGGTAACACCACATCTGTATCCTTTGCTTGACGTGTGTTGCAGGTGCCCATGGGCTATAGGTTCCACTTTAAATATTTAACTAAACAAAGACTGTGTAAAAAGAGTATATTATAAATGTATACATGGTTGATAATAACACCTGATAATGTGGTGGTCGCTTCCAAGCTGTTTCTAAAATAATATTATAAATAGTTTGTAACCATTCACATCGTAAAATTCATTTAAAAAAAAAGTCCCTCTGGTATTCTTGCTGGTTCTTCCCAGGCAGGACAGATTTTTTTTCTGAACCAGTGGTAAAGTAAAAAACGACTTTTTATAAGAATTACATGTAATCTGTATTGAATATATAAATTATCCTATTCTACTTACCATCAGGTGGTTTGTAAGTTTATTTGCCACTTCAATGTTACAAAAAATGATGTTGATGAAGAGAATTGTGGTATCCAATAGATTTAATTACAAACTTATATATTTAAGTAGTTTTCTGTATATTTTTTGAACTTTCATATTTTCAGATGGCTGAGGATGAGGAGCCCGTAATTGTCTGTTACACCTGTCATGCAAGACTCGTTCGTTGCAGGAGATTGCAGCAACAGGCTATTGAGTCGAATGCAGTTCTGGAGCAGTTGCTTGCAGAAGGGTCCACGGTATTATCCATTTCACATCCATTAGAACCTATAAAAGTCCACTGCGGAACACAGACCTCTCTCATACATTGCTTCGTAGGAGGGATTTTGACAAATTTGGTTGGCGACCGCAGTTTATATTAATGTGTGTTGTTATCAGGAAGATGCTGCTGCCCAACTCCTGTTTCTGTTTCCCTGTGTCGCCTCTTACGACACCCGTCCCGGGGGTAGGTATAAGTATAGGGCACGATCAACGGTATTATACTTCTTATGAACAAAAGCTTGCGTGGTCATTCACTGCTTGATGGGTCATTTGCATTATAATGAAGTATTTGCCTTAACCATCACTTGGCAGGCACCTTGGTGATTACTACCTGTCTTGTGTCTTCAATGCTGTTTCCTGTTGCTATATGGGTGAATGTTTTTCTACTGCAACGTTAACCCAGATACTGCGACGGGGCTTTTAAAAGACCCGAAAAAATTATTAAAAATACCCTCAAGTTTCGAGTTGTTAAAATGAATTCTCTAAGATATTTGCACTGTCAGGTTACTTAGTACCTATCCGTGTATGATTTCATGCGGTGTTGTTTACAACTAGACACTTGTTTATTTAAAGTTATTGTGTCAATGAAGACTTAGGAGTATTAGCGTCATGATGTCTGGACAAAGATAAGCTTTGATCATTTATATATCTGGATGTTGTTGCTAATACATTTTGATATTTAATTTTAGATATATTATCTACAATATCAGGTTATCTATTTGTTTTGGTGCATCAAAAACTCATTCCTTTTTCACGTTTCAAATTGATGGCCTTTTAAAAGTCCCATCGCAATATGGGGGTCTATAATATTATTGTTTTCTTTTTAGCACGCGACCTTTGAGAGCACTCAATCTCAACGACATAGTTGATGAATTAGAGCGATGTGAGGATGATGATTTGTTGCCAACTCAAATTACAATTTTTCTACCTGAGAACGCTAATGCCGACGTCACAGATGAGGATTCTGAAGATGAAGAATTTGTTGCATTGCAAAATCTACCAGGTAAAATATTTGTTTTCGGGTTGATATAACTACGTATCCATGATTCTATCTTGTTTTATTTATATGTTTGCAATATTTATATCTGTTTTTTATAGGCTCTCAACTACGAGCTCCAGCCGAGGTCACTTTTCATATGAGTTCCGACGAAGAAGATGATGTACCTTTGTCAAGTTTGTCAAAAAGAAGACGCACGATGGATTTGACTTTAGAAGATAGTGACGTCGTACCTTCTTGTAGTTCAGATGTGTCAACTAATTCTACATTTGTTCAGCCTACAGTTCCCCGAAACCAAACCTATAGATGGAAGAATCGTCATATTCCAAACCATTTCAATCAATGGAATGACGAACAAGGTCCAAAAAACTTACAATCACCCTTATATTATTTCGACTGCTTGTTCAACAACAATGTTATTGAATTACTAGTGCGATATACCAATTTGTATGCAGGACAGAGAAATAAAGTGGGCAAAGTAACTGTTTCTGAAATGAAGTGTTTCTTGGGCATTCTTATGTACAGCGGGTATGTAGTAGTACCCCGTAGGTTTATGTATTGGGAGACATCGACAGATGCCGACTTTAGGATTGTGCACAATGCTATGTCAAGAGATCGTTTTACTTTTATTATGTCAAATCTCCACTGCTGTGATAATACAGTTCTTGGTGATTCTCCTGACAAATTCGCTAAGTTGAGACCTCTGTTTGACGAGTTAAATAAAATCTTTACTGCTACTACAAATAAACTACAGCATAGACGAGGCTATGGTTCCATACTATGGACGTCACAGTTGCAAACAGTTTATACGTGGCAAACCAATTCGTTGGGGATATAAACTGTGGGTTGGTGCTACAAGATTAGGCTACGTGATTTGGTTTGATCCTTACCAGGGAAAATCTTCAACCATTGCAGAAGGTTACAAACAGTTTGGTCTAGGTGGGAGTGTGATTTTGGAGTTTGCTGATGTTCTACAAGGTCGTGATCCAACATTGCCATTTAATTTATTCTTCGACAATTATTTTTCCTCTATTCCTCTACTGCATGAACTTAGTAATAGAGGTCTGAGAGCCACTGGAACTATTCGTGAAAACAGAACGTCCAAGTGTCCTCTCGAGTCTAACAAAGATTTCAAAAATACTGATAGAGGTTCATTTGAATTCAAATCCAGTTTGCCTACCAATATTTTGGTTTACAAGTGGAATGACAATAGTGTCGTTACTGTTGCCTAGAATACTGAAACTGTGGAGCCCCTGCAAAAAGTCAAGAGATTTTCGCAAGAACTAAAAAAGATTTGTACATATTGACCAACCGTCGGTTATAAGAACCAGTTAAGAAAATACAATGAAAATATGGGAGGAGTCGATAGATCCGATCAAAACATAGGGTTGTATCGGACTTCTATTCGTAGCAAGAAATGGTATTTTTCACTGTTTTGTCACACCTTAGATATGGCTGTGCATAATGCATGGCAACTTTACAAGCGAGACGGTGGAGAACATGATCATCTCACTTTTCGTATACTACTGGCGAAAGATTTGCTCGAAAGCTACAAAAAAAGCGATAAGAGAGGACCATGTCCCACAGGTAGATCTCATCCAGTACAGTCTAGTACAGCGCTCCCCAACTATGATGCAAAGTTTGCAAAGTTAAAAGTTTTTTTATTTGCCAAAAGTGTACGATTCATTTACATCCTAAGAACTGTTTCCTTGAATATCACACTAAAACTCAGTAAAGTTAGTGAACTTTACTGACTTTTAGTGTGATATACTTAGTGAAGTGCTGTTGTTTTATTGTGAGACATCATATCACATAACTTGCTATACCTATGTCTATTTTATTTTGTATAGTTAACATTTACCGTAATAATAAAAAACTAATATAATAACAGTTTGTTTTATTATTAGGCCGCCACATACATGTAAACAATCCCCATATTACGACGGGACTTTTAAAAGCCCACCCTTTTCCGGCTTTTCTGAAAACATGTAATTTTTTGTACTATTTTTCTTGGTTATTATGAGTCATTTTAACTATCATATCCGAATATCACCAAGATCGAAAACAAAAAATAGTTACAGTAACATCTGGGTTAATTCATTCCTTTAATCCAACTTACTTTTTCGTAAGAGCAATAGCCTATATTTTATGATTTTAGTAAGTTAAGTACTTATTTTCACAAAAATAATTATCTAACTGCTTATATTGTTATATATTGCCATATTGTATATACCTATACGAAATATTATTTTTGGGTAATATTACTCAATAAACAGAGATTTATCTTTGTCAATTTACAGCATTTGATAATCTGTTTAAAAAAATTGTTGAGTCTCGATTCTTGGAATGGATGAACTACATACCTACATTCTCCTACAACCCTCACTTTTGACCGGTTTTTATTATTACTTGGAGTTGTTGTCAGGTTGAAGCTGCTGCCCATCTCCTAATTCAATTTTCCTATGTCAATTTTTACCACATCTGCGGGATCATATGGGGTAGTATGGATTCTTCTACGTCACCACTAGATTTTTTCCTTATTGAATAAATAATTTTATTTCAGTCAATACCCAAACCGATTGAGGCTAGAGGTGATATTCAATTCACACCAACATATCATATAGATATCAGGCCAGTTGAGTGTGGTATAGAAAAAGATTGTAAGGACGAAATTTTTAACCTTGAATCTGTTAAAGTTGAGGAAGAGAATTTCAAAAATGAGAATTCTAAATGTAACGAAAATGAGAAACATGAAACAGGTATGGATATACTCATTTTGTGATATTAAAATAAGGTACAGTTTACCTAATGCCAAGTGGTTACCGTAGCCCATGAAAATAAATAAAGAGGGCTTCACATGCAATGTACTGATTTACTGATTTGCCTTCCCCTAAATTCAAAGTGCACGTAAAAAGCACTCTTAAGAAGAAAGAAAATTACAAATTAAATAATTATTTAAGAGAGAAGCGTGAAAAAATAACATGTAGTTAATTAATTTATGTATACTTCACTAATACCATGAACATAGACAGGGTAGATTCAGAACCACAATATAATGACAACCCATCTGGTTTCGGTCCCTCAAAACGAAATTGTACAGACTTAACACCAAGAATTCATTAAATAAAAGTTGGTCATGAAGATACGCCATCAGCGTCATATCAAAAATTTACACCTTGATATTTCAGAAAAGAAAAAATACACAGATCCACTTTAAGCGTATAGAACCAGATCCTTCACCTGCTTATACAATCCTGTCAAGATGGACCATGTTGTATTCAAAAATAAGGTTTCCAATTATGAAAAACAAAGCATAACAAATCTAGGTCCTTAAAGGGTCTCAATAGTTTATAGAACTGCTTCAGATGCCAATTATCTCATCATCATCATTACAGCCCTTCACAACTCTTACTGCTGAACATAAGCCTCCCCCAAGGTATGCGACAAAGGTCGGTCGTGAGCCACCTGCATCCATCGACTTCCTGCATGTCTTACCAGGTCGTCACTCCATCTAGTGGGGGGTCGCCCTACACTTCGCCTACCGGTAAGAGGCTGCCACTCGAGAACCTTTTTTCCCCAATGGTTGTCGGTTCTTCGAGCTATATGGCCGGCCCATTGCCACTTCAGCTTACTAATCGGTCGGTCGGTCACTCGTTCTGCTGCGGATATCCTCATTTCTAAGAGTATCACGAAGAGAAACCCTGAGTATACCCCTCTCCATAGCTCGCTGAGCGACTTTGAGCATCCTCATACAGCCAGCAGTGAAGGACCACGTCTCAGTTCCATAGGTCATCACTGGCAACACGCACTGGTTGTACAATTTCGTTTTCAGGTTTTGAGGTGTACCTGACGAGAAGATGTAACGTAATTTCCCAAACGCTGCCCAGACAAGGTGAATCCGTCCATTAACCTCTCGGTCAAAGTTGGACTTACCTAGTCAGACTATTTGTCCCAGGTAAACGTACTCGTCAACAACTTCAAGCTTAGTGCTCCTAACAACTGCCGGCATAGGTGTGACATGGACATTAAATATGATCTTTGTTTTGTCCATGTTTATCTTAAGACCTATCCATTAGGAGGCACTATTGAGGTCATTGAGCATAGCGTTTAGGTCCTCCAGCGATTCTGCCGTAAGGACTATATCGTCGGCAAATCGAAGGTGAGTAGTGTACTCGCCATTTATGTTAATACCGTATGCTTTCCAGTCAAATAGCTTGAAAACGTCTTCCAATGCAGCGGTGAAGAGTTTCGGGGATATAACGTCACCCTGTCTTACACCTCTCTGCAGTTGGATAAGTTTCGTACTCTGGTTCTGTACTCGGATAGCCATCGTAGCCCTTTATTCATATACCACATTTAACTTGGCACCGCTAAAGAGATTGTAGCACGGCCCAAATTTCGTTGGAATCGTAGGCTTTCTCATAGGCCACACGCCAGGCAAAGTAGCAAATTGTACTCTTCAGACTTCTGTACAATTTGCCAAAGGGTATGTATGTCCAATAATCTATTCTTGCTAAATACAAACTATCAGCAGTCATTCCAACCTTCAATGTTACTAGAATGGGTGTCGTAAGAGGTATACCGACTGATATTTCCATGGAGGAGTTAGTGTCTGAGTTGGAACTACTGCCTGTTAGAGAATTTATAAAGGCTAGACGACATAATAATATAATAATAATATATACATAAAACACTCACGCCTGTCACCCAGAGAGGTAGGCAGAGACTACAGACTTCCATTTGGCACGATCCTGACACACCTCTCTTGCCTCCTTCACATCCATACACCTACGCATACATGCTCGTCGGTTAAGGGTACTCCTAATTTGGCCCGTTTTCAATAAATCGCCAATTTGGTCGATAAATTTTCGCCTAGGACGTCCCTTTCCGACTCTGCCATTCACTAATGCACCATAAATTTTCTTTGTCACTCTTTCCTCATTCATTCTTTCCACATGACCAAACCACCGAAGCGTTCCTTTCTTAATCCTGGTCACAACATCATCTTGCAAACCACACTCTTCTCTTATTACCCCCCCCCCCCCCCCCCCCCCCCACCACCCCACCCCAACAATTTCTTACCCTGTCATTCAGATTCAGCCCTAACATACTCCTTAACGACCGCATTTCTACTGCGTTTATTCTACTCTCGTGCTTCTTCTGCCACACCCAACTTTCACTACCATACGTTAAAGTAGGGACCAACACAGCATTGTGAATTGCCATACGTGCCTTTTTCGACACATTTTTAACTCTTCACAATAGAGTGCAAGGCCCCATTTACTCGATTTCCCGCATTCACTCGTCGTTCTATATCCTTATCATATCTCCCATCCCTGCTAAACACATCAACTCCCCTTCTATTCTTATTTCACAAATCGTTTTTCTTTCTTCTCTTTCAAAAACCATAACCTTCGTCTTACTTGCGTTCACTTTCATACCCCTTTCTTTTAATGATCCGTTCATTAATGTAACCATCATTTGCAACTCGGCCGCCGACGACGCAAGAATAACTTGATCATCGGCGTACAAAAGGCATTTGACGGTTAACTCACCCATTCTTAATCCGCATTCTTCAACTTTCAAATTTTGCACAACAACTGTCCATAAATAGGTTGAACAGCCACGGGGAAGCCACACAGCCCTGTCTGACACCTTTATGGATGTCAAAACAGTCCGAGTAGACCCCGTTGATCCTAACACAAGCACTAGAGTCCCTATAAAGAGACTCCAATGCCTGTATCAAGCCAGCGCTCAACCCAAATGAGTTCAGTGTTTGCCATAGCAAATCCCTATCCACTCTGCCATAGGCCTTTTTAAAGTCCATGAACGCACAAAAAACCTTTTGGTTTTTGGCCAGAAACTTCTCCGCGATAATGCGCATGGAAAAGACTTGATCTGTACATCCCATTCCCTTTCTAAATCCCGCTTGCACTTCCCAAATTTTTCCATCAGTTTCTTTCATGACCCTTTCAATCAGTACCTTAGCATACAGTTTTCCCACAATGCTAAGAAGGCTGATGCCACGGTAGTTTTCACAGTCCTGCTGCGACCCTTTTCCTTTATATACTGGGACTATCACGGCTTTGCACCAGTCTACCGGTACCCGCTTCAGTTCCCAGCATAAATTAAACAAGGTGTGCGGCAGGCCTGCCACCACTTCCTCTCCAGCCCTTAGCATTTCGAGTGAAACTCTATCATATCCGGCAGCCTTACCTGCCTTTCATGCTTT